GGTAAGAAGAGATTGAGAAGGTAGATAAGGTAAGGGATCAACATACCTGGAGATAGCTGCCCCCAACCACAGATTTCTCACCAATTGAGCTGATGTTGCATTCGATGACTGGTCATGACCTCGGTACCACCCACAACGCAATGCAGTGCCACCTTAGTCCAATGCCACATCAGCATGCTCTCATCACCAATCAAACACTTCGCTGTAACCCACGGCATACACTGCCGTCATTAGCCTTCCGGCGCACCCCTCTCTACCCAGGGCGTGCGCCTATACGCCAGCGTGCCAAAGGTAAGTGGCGATCAGACCAGCTCCGATACCAAATTGCAAGGAACATGAGTATGGACGAAGCACAGAAATCCAGAATGCAAAATCACACTGAAGTCCAAGTAGTCAAAGCCAAAGCAGATAGCACATGGAACCGAGTAACCATCCAATTGAGAATGATACAGAAGAATCGTGAGTCAATGTCCATGCCCAACAGGGCAACACCAACAGCATAACCCAAATGTAGCTCTCTCTTGTGAATGGTGCCAGGCTCCCTATCTACTCTACAGCCTATCCTACAACTACAGCAATGAACAGCAACCAGACAACTTGACTGCCAGCGAGTGATGATGTCAACACCAATGCCGACCTCCACCTTCACCAGGTACGTGTCCTCTTCCCCACACTCTCCCTTGTTACCCACACAGCGCCCTTCACCTCCGAAGTACCACCTTCGCCCTCACCTCCCCTGCACCCTCATGCAGCCCGGCTATGGCCGCCAGTGCCCTTCGTGCAGGCAGCGCCCTACCGCCTAGCGCTGGCCTGCTTGCTCTTAGCGCAGCACTGCCTTGCACAGCGCAGCATACATGCATCCGCGCAGCGTGCCCGCAAGTGCCAGCATTGGCCAAGATCCCTGCCCACTCGCCCTGCTTGCCTATATGCCAGTGCAGTGTGTGGGCGGCCTTCCTTCAGCCTGTGACCGGGGCCCAGAGGCTGAAGTCTACCCGATACAGTTGGGCCCCGGAGCAATGCAGTTGCGCCTCTCTCATCAAGGCCTGCGGCCAGATTCAGATAGTGGGCCGATTTCCCTTTGGCATTTTCGGCCTCTCTACCCAGCATGCATTGTCGGCCTCACGTTCGAGTGCCCAGGGCCTAACTAACTCAGAGGCCCTGGGCATTTCAGCATTTGCTGAAATCCGAGACTCGGTGCACTCCAACCAACTGGCGTGCTGCAACTGTATAGACCCCACTTCGTGAAATGTTGGCATAGAGGGCTCTTGTTGATTTGCTGGCCCGCCTTCACTTAGGGCGGGCACTAGGCTTGCTGGGGCCTTAGCCCAGAACATGTACATCATGGCAAGGCCCCTACTTGAGGGCTCAATCCTCACATATGTTCACTCCTCTACCAGCTGAGGCTAAAACCGAACTAGTGGCTCAGATGCAATGGACTCTGAATACGGATTTCCTACGATCATTATGTCTGATAGGAATGTCCGGTTCACCAGGCAGCAGTGGTAGAAGTTAATCGAAGTCTATGGCACACGACTGACCATGTCTTCAGGTAGGCACCCTGAGACAAATAGACAGACTGAGCGAATGAATATATTGTGTCGACAACTTCTGCGAATGTATGTAAGACCTGACCAAGTGGATTGGGATGAACATTACACAAGATAGCTAGTGCGTATAACAACAACGTCCATACGGTCACAGGACGAACACCTAACGCACTATACAAAGGATGGCAACCCAAGAGGCCTATAGACTCCTTGACAAGGGAGCAGATTCAAAGGTTGGCCCCAGGTACGCGTGAGTTCGCAGTTTTGTATTAACAATACATCGCAGAGGCTAACGAAAACATTAGAAAAGCTCAAAACCAGATGATTGAGCAAGCTAACAAGCATCGAAGACCTGCTCAATTCAAAGAAGGGGATCTGGTATGGGTTAAGTCTAATGAATTCTCGTTAGAGGAAGAAATTTCACAGAAAGCGCTACCTGTCTACTGCGCGACATGAGAAATTCTGAAAGTGGTTGAGGATGCTAATGGACCATCCTATCGGATAGATGTGCCCCCACACCTCAAGACGTATCCTGTTTTCCATGCATCAAGATTGTTACCCTATGTTGAAGGTCAGGATTTTCCTAACAGACCATCAATGTTTCCACCTTCGTTGGACAGAGGGTATCAGGTCAAAAAGATTCTCAAACATGGCTTCTTCTCTACCGGTGTAAGAGGAAGGCCACAAAAGCAGTATAGGGTAAAGTTCTCTAACCAGACAGAATCTGAAGCAAGATGGTTCGGCAAGAAAGAACTATTAACAACTGCCCTGAGATAGTTGCTGCAGATGAATGTGGTTTACGAGAAAACCGTGTTTGAAAGGAAAAATTCTTCAGGGGACCTCGAAATCGAGCCGGATGGAATGTAATAACCGGGTTTAGATCTGCCCACACGCGAGCAAATGTTGTCACTTTTGGTCGAACGCCAGAAACAGGGGTGAAAAGTCACATCCCAAGCCTCATAAATGTCTGAGAAAGTTCCTAGGGTCAAGGGGCACCAGGATCTGAGTCAAAAGCTATGTCTAGTACCCCAATGTGAGACAATCGACTCTTGGAAAATCAAGAGTCAACCCCAACACGGGATTCCAGGCCAAAGTCAAAGTCAGCCCGTTGGCCAGCCACGGCCGTCGATCATATGCACATCATTGGTTTTTCTGCAAGTATCCGGAAGATTCCAATCCCAACTGGGAAAAGGTACTACTCTGAAGCTGCATCCCGACTGTCGAAAGTGAGCAAATCTGAAGCGTCGATACCGGCAAAGGGAAGAATGGTCCACACCAGTCTACATTGGTCAATGCTACAAAAGAACGGCCAGACACCGGGGAAGGCATTCAGCCTTGCGCTGGCTTGATGCTAGTACGGTATCGCAAGGTTGCTAGAGATTATGCTCGCGCCAGAGCTGCTGGGGAGGCGCCATCATCGGAGGAGATTATGTTGAAGCGACCCTTGCCGCCATAGCTATAGACACTGGTGTTGAGGTTGGGTGAGGAGGGGGAAGATCAAGGCTGTGAGACAGGAGAGGGTTTGAGAGGAAGCTTACTTGGGCTTACCTGGCGACATCGTGTAAGATCTGCTGCTCATCTCCACGGAGGTGAGGAAAATCTGCGCCATCCTCCCTGATTGGCTGCTGAAGAGGCTGGAGGATGGGCGCCCTGGTGTGACCAGCACACTGAAACTGTCAGAGAACTTCAGAGAGAGACTACACTGCTGAGGTGGCGACAAGGGGGTAATGCATGAGGAGGAAGCGGGCACGAAGAGACTTCATGCGTTATTGACTACTACAGGGACTCTTCTCCTCCTTCTCTGTGTCTCTTTTCCCCACTACCTTATTCTCTTCTGTGAAGATGCGATGCTGTTGGAAAGTGCACATATGCTGGGCATGGACATATGATCGATTTGGAGACATTATTCTTTCCGCTGGCTTCAGACTCGTATCACGACACTGATTAGCTTCTCATTAGACTGGGTTCATTACACGTTTTTCGACCCCGAAATTTTTCTAAGAGCCGGTACCAGTCCTTCTACGCCAACAGGATTTTCATTAGCAACAATCACAGATCTGAAGGAAGCAACTGTCCTTTGGGACATCTACTAAAATTGGAACATACAGAGAAGATTAGCATGGCCCTTGCACAAGGACTACACACAGAAAACGAGAAATGGTCCAAATTCATTTTTTAAAGATAGAAAACATAGGAAACAGTAGACAGCGCAGGGCACACTGAAAGCCTTCTATTTTGTGACGACAGTGTGTGACGCGTGATGATACGGATGGCTTAGCTGAAAATTCTCAACACAGAATGGCTGACGTTAAACATGCCCGCAAAACACTCACGACACGTGGCCTGTCAGTCGCAGGCCAGAGCAAACGAACAACGGGCATGACAGGGGAACATGCATTCAACACCACATCCCTCACCGTAAAATGGCCACGTGATGTCCGGACGTGGAGGGTGCACGCAGTTCTTTCATCTGTCATGCGCAGCAAAACGAGAAAGCAAAACCACCAGGGTAGCTGCGCAAACAATACCTGAAATGGATTCTTGCTTTTGAATTCGTGAGAAAAAGGGTATCATTCGTATTGTATGTAATCAACCCAACTTCAGAAGCTTACAATCAAATCTCGCACGAATACAACTGTGCAACCCAGTGATAACAAGCAAATTGAGTCAGTAGAGAAAGATAAGATGACATGAAGAAGAAGATCAACAGCATGGAGTTATCTCAACCTGTATAAACAAGGAATACAACGTTCAAACTGCTTCTCCCTCTTCTTCCACGGGAACAATTCTCACCACCTCAATGCACCCAACGGCTTGTGTCTTTTGACTCGTTGACCACCAGTCTGGACACAATGACACTTGCCAAGTCAACCTCTCCACTACGCTGGCTATCCCAGGCTAGCACAATGAAGCTGGAACTTGAAATGACAATGTCGATGTTCTGCGGCAGCATGGAGTCTTCTTCCTCCCAATCACGACCACACTGCCTCACTGAAGCTATGGTGACCTTCTCTATCATTCCCTGACCTCACTAGCACAAGTGCCACACTCTCTGTATAGCACAAGCACCAACGAGAGGAAGTACCGGATGATAAACGGTGGTCCCCCTCCTCTTGAAGTCTTCTTCCTCAGGTAGCGATGGCCGCCAGTCAACGGGTAAGCTTCTTACACCTTCTTGCCAACCCCTGTGAAATGGTTACCTCCTCCTCCTTATCTCCACCCCTGACCCTCCTCTTTACGGTGTCATGCAAGCTCTTGTCCATAACCCCACCTCTGATTGTGAGATGAAGAATGTGGGGCACATGCAACCACTGGTCTTCTCTGCAGCAGCTATGGCTGAACACCCGAGTTGGCAATCTCTCCAGCTAAGCTTCCTGTTCTCCTCAAGCCTTACATTCTACCTCAGATCTCCCCTCTTTTCTCTCTTGTAGCTGTGGTGCATCAGGACCTTCAACAGGCTATGGCGACCACTCTCTGTCACTCTGGCTATGACAACCTCTCACTCTCTCCGACTGCCTTCTCTCGCACTCACTACAGCGGCTCCTGTAGCAGCGAACTGTACACATGCACTGTAGCTGCGCACTGTGGTGCATGCAATGTAGCAGCGCAAGACGGAATGAATCCATGGGCCAGGGAAGACCACTCTTTTATAGTGGTTTCTCGTCCTGGCCCGGCTCCAGTTTTGCATCCTTGAAGGATTGACATTTCCCAATCTGTGAGGCCCAGATTTGCTCGCAAAGCCTTCTGGAAATTGTACTGAGCCAGGCTTTGGATTTGTGTGAGATCTGTGGCCATGGTTGACTCCTGGGACATCTTTGCCTCTTTGATTTCTGTGCCGGGTAGGGCTTGACTGTTGACTTTCCAAGAGTCCACCTGTGACGCTGGAGGCATGAGGTGCCGCGTTTTTTTACCCTTGACCCAATACCCAGTCACCAAGGGACATTTTGATGCCTCTTCAGAGTCAGGAAAGTCACTTTTTGACCCTAGAACTTTGACCTGACCAAGGGTTACGACCCCTAGTCATGTCTGTACGGATTTCATATCCGTTCAAGAGACTTATGAGAGTCTGTAGGACCACCTGTTGACCTCTCTAGAACCACCTGTTGACCCCTCTAGAACCAACTGTTGACCCCTCTAAAACCAACTGTTGACCCCTGAACTTTGCTAGGTCAAGAGCTACGAACCTTAAAATTTCCTCCTCTGGTTCTACCCCAGCCTTTGTTGGGGTCTTCATTCCAAAGAACTGTGACTGACTGTGACACGGACTAAGACCATATTCTGTAAGATTGAGGGTCATTCTGACGGACTCTGGGGCCCTACAGCCCTATTTCTAATGCCTAGCCTTGACTCAGACTTTGGATGCATGTTTCTGTGTTGGACTTGAACCTGCATCATTGCAGTATCTTTATTCTCAACTAAACAATTTAAAAGACCATAAGGTACTAAATCAAAGAGGTTACTCTGTGGACATGAAAAGGCCAACAAGAATTGTATCGAAGAAATATAAATTTGCACAATGTTTCTACACATCCTCATGGTATAAGAGAGCAGCTGCCATGAATTAAAAAAATAAAATATAAATAAATCAATCTCCTTCCTTTCCCTCTTTCTGATGAGATCAAGAAAGTTGAAGAAAAAACTGCCTTGGAAGACAATGGAATACATTCTTAGAATCTCTTTCTCATTTCTATCTTCTGATTTTTTTCTTTCCCCAAAAGGAAAGACTGCACACTCATGACACTACACTTGAAGATTTGTCTCTCCCCCTCGTCTCCCTTCCCCACCTCCCCTGTTGGGATCTGATCCCATTCTTTCACAACCCCCTTGGCACACACACACACACACACACACACACACACACACACACATCACCCCCTAATCTCCCTTCCCCACCTCCCTCTTGAAGTCTGATCAAATCCTTTCACAACTCCAAGAACCCTCTCTCTCTCTCTCTCTCTCTCTCTCTCTCTCTCTCTCTCTCTCTCTCTCTCTCTCTCTCTCTC